CAAAAATGTGTTGCCAAGTGGTTTTATGCAACTGTGTTTAGTAGCTTTTAAGATGCTCAGTTAAGTAATATCACTGGAAAAATGGCATCTTGTCAGGTGAAATGATCTTAAGTCTAGTCGATATATCTAATATTTCCCATTTTGAGATGGTTGTCCACTTATTATAAGATTATTTAGCTTATGAAGTAAAATGATCTCACTATACTGGCAGAAAATTTTGCTGGTTTCAAGCACATTTCTTAAAACAAGCAAAATTATCTGCCAATATAGTGAGATACTTACTTAATAAAATTACTTAAAACAAGTGATAAGTGTCTAGAAATAAGTTACATAATCTTAAATTAATCTTACAACAATCTCAACAGGAGAAATATTAGATTTATTGATAATTTTACTTGATAAGATACCATTTTTTGCAGTGATGTACTAGAAGTGGGCGATATGGCAAAAATATATGTTCCGATACCTTAAAGAAATTTTCCTGATATATGATATGTCACGATATTTATTTTTTTTCAGACATCTGATCAGTTGGAACAGAAAAAAGAACTAGCAATGCTATGCATTTTAAAATACTATCAAAAACTGTGATTTTTATTCCGCATTTGGCACTGCACCCAGTTAAACGAGACAATTTTGCTCTCTTTATAATGAAACATGCAGTTGGTCGGTGTCTACAAGCACTGACAATCTACCCAATATGTTCAGAAAAGCATATTTACTGTATTGACATGCACTTTCATACTGCCCAGTCCTAATATGTACTAATTGACCCCTTAACAGGCCAAAGTTTGATTACACACTTCTATAACCTAAGAACAGCTCATCCAGTTTGCATTGAAGTCCCTGTAGTTATTGAATAATAAGCCTTAGCATGTAATAAGGCTGGGATTTTAAGGGGTTAAGTAGGTTTCTGTATGGGAATCAGCCTCAGTATCAAGAAAAAAAAATGTAAAAAATATAAAAAAAAGGAAAAAAAGAAAAATCTCCCTTTTTACTAGCAGGACCCTAGAACCATAAACAACACATTCTCCATCAATCTGAAGAACAATTTCACCATGCAAAGAACCATTTAAGCATGCAAGTGGTTCTTTGAATGTTCAGGGTTCTATAACTGATCCAGCTATTCACACCATTTCACCAGGCTGTTGTCCGTTCTCAAAGATATCACTCTAATCCTGATATATGCATACAGTGATGCCATTTCTTTTAAGACCCTATTTATTTCTCTTTATATGCCAGTTTCTCTTTGACCGCTTCCCAGTGCAGTAGCTCTCTCAACACAGTAACGCACCAATGTGGGACAGTAAAGGGCAGTACATGCTCCCTCAGGGCCAAACAAAACTAGGGCTGCACGATATGGACAAAATACCATACAGTGATTCTAAGAGCCATTTTATGAAGTTTGTTCCAGTCCCAGTGCTGGACATTGCATTTGCTCCAGTTAAATGTGTTAAATTGATGGGCTACAGTAATAGCCATGGATTATTTACTGTTATTAATACAAAAATATCTGTGTGTGCTTTCCCCCCTTCTGTTTCTTCTAAGTGGACCAGTCCACTTGCGCTCTTCGTCGAAGTGTTATTGCATCATTTCATTATCCTCGCAAGATGGACGGGCAGTGGAGCAAGGCTTAAAACAAAAGGATATTGTTTGTAAATGTTCTGAATCCTCCGTTTGCATCAAGCTTGTTCTACGCTATGTGTCCAAAAGTTTGTGGACACCCGCTGATCCAATGTTTCTTCTGAAATGAAGGGTATTAACAAGAAGCTTGCCCCCCTTTGTATCCCTCCAATCTGTAAAAACAGCCTTGACTGTTCTTTGCACTAGATGCTGGAACATTGCTGTGAAGATTTGATTGAGCATTAGTGAGGTAAGGATGGTAGGTCTGGATCACTCCAACTCATCCCAAAGGTATTGGATGGAGCTCAATCACTTCAGAGAACACAGTTCCACTGCTCCACAGCCCAATGCTTGTGGGGGCTTTATACCCCTCTAGCTCAGGCCTGGCATTAGGCATGGTGACCATCCACCCGCCATTAAAGGAGCCCCCCGAGGGAACACGTCCATAGCAGTAGTGCTCATGCTATAGGACTCTTAACAAGAGCTCAGCAGCAGAACGATCCATTAGGAATATCTTGGGCAGCTTCTCCAGAGCTCCATTCTATTGGTCAATGCTTTTCTATGGAGGTTATACAATGGCTGCACCTTAAAGCAGCTCAATTCACTTATAAGAAGCACATATTGCATTTAGTAGCCATCTTGAACTAGGAAATATGAAGCAGTGCTTCTACAGTGATTATACTGCTACATTCGGCTATTGCCATATGCTCTTTTTAATATTTTACGAAACGCATCCCCCAATATGAGACTGGCCTGCCTTATTTTGACCAAAATTAGTTCTATTTGTGATCATATAAATGCTTTCTTTCATCAAAACACCAAGAGGAACCCATCAATAACATCCAAGGTAGATCAAGATGCTCAAAGCACACAATAAAACATTTAAGAAGTTTCTTAAAGGGCTCATTTGCATGTTGGGGCCTTCTGGGATCTCAGCATCATAAAGGCCAAAGATTGCAGTAACGATTAACAAACACATAACTGTGCAGCCCTACGCTCAGCTTTTACTCCTGAAACAGGGGCTCGAGGGTTTTTAGTGAAGACAGTGGTTTAATACAGAACCATGACAACTCAAAGAACCATCTGAATACTTAAACTGTTCCTTAAAAGTTCAGAACATGGTTATTTGTATGGGTAACATTATATCATTATATTGTACATATAATGTTCTTTATTTAGTCTGATGTTCTTATTCTTTGTCTTATTATTAATTATATCATCATTTATAATTCCAATGATGGAGAACCTGTTGTATATAGTTCTTTAAAATTATTCAAATCAAATTGTATAGTACATTCTTTAAAAAGAGGGTTCTTCAAGTTTTTTTTTTTTAGCAAAGACATAGAACCATTAACACTCAAAGAACCCCTGCATGCTTAAGTGTTTTTTGCATAGTGAAACAGTTCTTCAGATTGATGAAGAATGAGTTGTTTATGGTTCTACATAGCACCAAAAAGGGTTCTGCTATTGTTACAAGCTTGATGCTATATAGAACCCTTTTCAAAAATGTGCTATATAGAACCCTTTTCAAAGGGGTATATTGCATTTTACATGCCTAAAGCATTCTTTGCATGGTGAAATGGTTTGACTAATGAAGAATGTGCTGTTTATGGTTCTATATAGCACCAAAACAGGTTCTGCTATTATTACAATGTCAAGCTTGTAACTATAGAAAAACGTTTTTGGTGCTATATAGAACCATATACAACACATTCTCCGTCAATCTGAAGAAGCATTTTACCATGCAAAGAACAATTTAAATATGCACATTTCATTTCGAGGTCATGGAGAACCCTTGAAGAACCATCTTGTATACAGTTATTTTAAAATTGTTCTATACAGAATTGAATATTGCTCTATATATTCATCTAAATATTTTTATTTAAAAGCATTCTGCTATTGTTCAAACCCATAGAACCTCTTTTTGGTACTATACAGAACCATTACTGCTACACCCTTTTTCCAAAGGTCCTTTATTAAAGGCAATGCTTATATATAAATGGTTCTTTGCCGCTATGATGGAAAACCTTGTTGTATATGGTTCTTTAAAGACGAATGGTTCTATAGAGTACTGAAAAGCATTCTGCTATTATTAGGAGTCATAGAACCTCTTTTCTACTATATAGAACCTTACTTGCTAACAGAATACCACGCTGTGTCTTCTCAAGGGCAGCAGCAGAAAGGCTGTAATTCAGCAGGCCCAGCATTGGGATGCAGCCTTCGTGTAGGGTTCTTCAGCTGCGGAACCATTTGCTTTGGGTCAAAGCAAAGTCACCAAACACACCATCCAGCCTCCATTAAAGGAGCTCCCTAAGGGAACGCACGCAGAGCAGTGCTGTTCACGCTGTAGGACCTGTAACAAGAGCTCAGTAGCAGAACCATCCATCAGGAACATCTTATCAGGAACCTCTGTATCGGCACTGAGAGTCGGTCACCAGCCCGTCCACCACAGTCTAAACAGAGCCGAGTCTAAAGCACGAGCGAATGAAAAACAGTGGAAGAGCCTGAATGGAGCAGCGCAGCCTCATCGTAGTTCATCCATCCAGAAGATCAGAGAGTTAATTATCTGCTCATCTGTAACGATTTCTCTCTCTTTCTTCCTCCATCTCTTCCTCCCTCCCTCCTTTCGCTCGCTCTCTCTCTCTGTCTGCCACACACAAGCAAATGCACTTCAGTGCTGCGATCTCACTCCTTCCTACTACAACCATCGAGCGAGAGAGAGAGAGAGAGGCAGAGAGACAGAGTGAAAGAGAGAGAGAGAGAGAGAGAGGCAGAGAGACAGAGTGAAAGAGAGAGAGAGAGAGAGAGAGGCCGTGTTGGCGCCCATTTAAAAAACACTCACGCACAACAGGATTCAGCGTGAGGGCCTGAGGCTGGATTTCCAATAGCGAACACAGTTCTGTATGTATACGTATATATATACATATATATATATATATATATATATGTATATATGTATATATATATATATATATATATATATATATATATAGAGAGAGAGAGAGAGAGAGAGAGATATTGATATATAATGCAGGTGTATGTGTGTTTGCATACATATATTTAGATAAATACATATCTATATATACGTACATATATATAACTATGTATGGTTTTTCTTTATATAGTATATAAAGAAAAACCTCATACAAAACTGTATATATATATGTATTTATATAAATATATGTATGCAATGTGTGTTTGTGTGTGTGCATATATATATATATATATATATATATTAATATATGCACACACACACACGTATATATATACATATATATATATATATATATATATATATATATATATATATATATATATGCTCAGATGCCCACACATTCACATTGCCTCTCTGTGTTTGTGTCAGTGTGTGCTTTTACCTTCTCGTGCTCCTGTATCCTCCCTTTTGGGGGCTTTAGTGCCTGTCGTCCATCCTTCCTCTCCTCTTCCTCCTCTCCTCTCCTCCTCCTCCTCCTCTTCCTCTTCACTCCTCTCCTCTCCTCTTCGTCGCGCCGATGCGTATCAGATTAATTTTTAATAAGCTGCCATCTTCCAGGCAGGAACAGACCAAACCAAACCCAAACCAGCCCCAGCCCCACCTACGGACCCGCGCAGACCCCCCCTCCTGCCTGCTGATTGTGCCCCAGTCACGGGCAGCGCGGCGTCTCCATCCCCAGCCGATCACCTTATCGATCGGTTTGATCGGATCACTTACCCGCGCGAATCACGGAGCAGCAGTAAGAGCAGAAATAAGAATAATCGCATTGCCCTTTATCCGCTCCTGCAGGCCGGCGGGTTGGAGCGGGGAAAATGGAGGGGGGTGTATTTTACTTATTTATTTATTTGTTTTTAATTTTTTTTTTCACCGCGTCCTTCTGTCCGTGGGGTCAGTGGTGGAAAAGAATAATGATCAGTAAGAAGGAATGAAGGCTTTTCAGCGACGCGACTGGCGGCACCACATATCCAGCGACCAAACCAAAGGCGTGACGGTTATTATTGGCTATAATAAGCTGAAAATTGAATAATGTAGACGCCACGCCACGACAACACCCTGTGACTGGAAAAACGGGCCTGCGTACAATCAGAGCAGTAATAATTAGCCTATGTTAATTACAGTAACAATAATAAGAATAATAATAATGGTATTAATGATGGTTTAAAGCACCTCTATGTAGATGGATATCTCTGGTCAGCGTTAATGGCTCAGGCTAATACCCAAATACACATTTTGCGGTAACGTACGAGCGCATATGATCTTCCTCAGCAGGTCTCCACCTCTCAGTGAAGACCAAAGCCATCGCGGAGGTCCATACAGCAGGTCCTGTAATGTATATCTCCAGCGCCCAGTCTCAGTCAGCCAGCGCTAATCAATAGGAGACGCGGGTTTGGGTTAAAATCTCCATCCAGATACAACCGAGCTCCTCTCCGGACCGCACTGGGGCTCCATGCAGGAAAAACGACCACAGACTGGACTAAAACGACTCCACAGTTCCTAAACAACCAACGTTTCGCTCGTTAAAAAAAAGAAATAACACTATATTAGTCCGTGAGGAAGGACGGTTCCCTTCATTGCTGGATCTGCTGAGGCGTTGGTGTTTTCCCCCCACCCGTATTCCGGCTCGCCCCGCCCTCCTGCCCCGTGATTGGCTAACAACGTCCCGCCTCCTGCGCTCGAATTCCTCATTGGATCGCTCCCTGGCACTCCTGCGCTCTGATAGGCCACCGGAGGCCCACCTCCTACACGAGGATTGGCTACTAGGACGACGTTAACGGCGTAATTTTTTTTCCCCACCTGTTTTCGTCCGAAACCACGCCTCTGCTCAAGCTGACGCGCTGCGATTGGCTCCTCGCCTACTCTGGCTCGCTGGGATTGGTCAACGTCCTGCGCGCGTGAGAGCGCTCTGCAGACCAACGGCTCTCCCTGATTTGAATTTCCAACGGCTCTGAGAGAAAAGCTGGAGGAAATGAAGCTAACAGGCTGCTGGTTAAAGACAACAAACACAAAACAAAGGCCGTTTTAGCCTCTGTAGCTGAAAATATCCGATACGTGACTCCGATATCATCTCCACATTGAAGTGTTGTCCACCCAGGCTGCTTTGTTTTCCAAAGGATGTTATAACCTGACCTCATGCTAAATGTCTTAGCCGCTGAGTAGCTGTACTGAAGGCGTTACACATTCCAGCTCCCCCCTTTTTACTTTGTTAATAAAACAGCATAGACCAGCATGAAATCCAATCCTAAGCTAGTTTGTGCTGGTTCATGCTGGTCTACTGCTGGTTTAGCTGGTCACCCAACATGGTTGTGCTGGATGACCAGCATACCTGCATCCAAAAACACAACATATACTAGTTTTGCTGGTGAGCATATGAACTTCCATTGCTGCTGACCAACATAACAGCATCCAAAACAACATATCATAGCGGTCTGATACTGGTTCATTTGGAGTGGACGTGTGGGGCCTCCTGGGACAGACTTTAATTTGTAAATAGTTCGTATTATGGACATTATCCCAGATAGCGAACATATATCGGCCCGCTGGCTTAAAAAGGTCGGCATCCCCCTGACTGTTTGCCACTGCTGGTCCACCCTCGGACCACCCAGATTACTGTCATGTATACAAGTTTTAACTTGTTTTCAATCTCCTCAAACAGATTTTGAATGCACATAGAATTTTGGAAAATAAACTTAATATTATATAAATATTATAAATATTTGTTTATATTATATAATAAATATTATATAATATAAACAAATATTACATTATACATTATTATAACGAATGAGGGGAAAAAAAATCATGACTAGGCCTAATATAGGATGATTTTATAGAAAATGTTGTTGCTGACGCTGAGCTAGATTAAAATTATTTACTAATTTACAAAGTATAACTAAAGAACTAAAATCAGTAAATCAGACTGTGAGGGAAAATCAGCGATGATAGGTGGAATTTTGTCTATTACTCTGCTTAACCACTGGTGGGCCGCCCAGAAACACTGAGCAAAATGCCAGTGGGCCACCAGCGTTACCATCAGTGGGCCGACAGTGGTCTACTATCCTCCTGCTATCAGGGTATTGGCATGTTTACGTGTCAATAATGTCGGCCCGCCAATGGCAAAGCTGGTGGTCCACTGGTAAATTTGCTCAGCGTTTTCTCAGTGGCCCACCGGTGGTTAAGCGGAGTGTTAGACAAAATTCAGCTTATCTTCACTCGTTTTACTAAAAATTAGTTTAGTAAATCATTTTAATCCAGCTCAATGTCAGCAACAACATTTTCTATAGAATCATTTTCTATCAGGCCTAGTCATTTTTTTTCTCAGTTGTTTGCAATATTTGTCTTAGTTTATTTTCTAAAATAAAAGTCTCTGTCCATTTAAAATCTATTTGAGGAGATTAAAAACCAGTTACAGTTTGTATGCAGGACAGTAATCTGGGTGGTCCAAGGGTGGACCAGCAGTGGCAAACAGTCAGTGGTGTGCTGACCTGATCAAGTCAGCAGACCGATATATGCTCGCTATCTGGGATGTGTGGTTCTGTGCTGAGCTGTGGGGTTGATGGGGGGGTATTCTGTGCCTACCGTCCGAGTGAGTTGTGTGGCTACCCCGACCTCTCTGCTCTGCCCCACTTTGGTCAGTGCTGGGCAGTGGTGCTCCACTGCTGCCAGTTCAATAAAACAGCCTTTCCTGGAAGAACATTTGGGTTTTGCTGGTGACCAGCTATGATGGTCTGTGCTGGTTTTTCTAGCAGGGATAATAGTTAATAAAGCACAAGGCTAATCAGACAGCTAGTTTGGACAGAAAGAAAGACCAAACATCAAACATTTGTTTAAAGTCATTATACTAACGCTACATTTACATGTGTGCAGCAGACAGACAATGGCCAACTGTATATACCACTGTTTTTTAATGGAGCACCAATGGAAAATTCTGCCAACTGCAAGCATCAATGCTCTGTTGACTAAAACGGTAAGTAGAACATTCCATCAAGAGCTCAATTTTCCCAATTTTTGCTGTCGACCAGAGGTGCAATAAACCAGATGTTCATTTTTTGCAGGAGCCATGGACGCCAAACATCTCATTGTTGAATTCCCGATTAATCCAGGATTATACACACTTTAAAAAGATGGCTCTTCAAGGGTCCTTTAGTAAAGGCAGTAGTTCTATTTAGAACCATCAGTTAATAAAGAGCCATTTGCATGCTTAAATGGCACTTTGTATGGTGGAACTGTTCTTCAGATTGATAGAGAACATAATATACACAGATCAGGCATAACATCTCTTTGTTTCTGTGCTCATTGTCCATTTTATCAGCTCCACTTACTATATAGGTGCACTTTGTAGTTCTACAGTTCCAGACTGTAGTCCATCTGTTTCTCTGCATACTTTGTTAGCCCCCTTTTACCCTGTTCCTCAGTGGTCAGGGCCCCCATAGACCCTCACAGAGCAGGTACTATTTGGGTGGTGGATCATTCCCAGCACTGCAGAAACACTGATGTGTTGGTGGTGTGTTAGTGTGTGTTGTGCTGGTCTGAGTGAATCAGACACAGCAGTGCTGCTGGAGTTTTTAAACACTCACTGACCACCTGATTAGACGCACCAGCATTGTTGGTCCACCCTGTAGATGTAAAGTCAGAGACGATAGCTCATCTGTTGCTGTACAGTATGAGCTAATCATCCTCTAGTCCTTCAGTGGTGGTCACAGGACGCTGTTGGCTGGATATTTTTGGTTGGTGGACTATTCTCGGTCCAGCAGTGACACTGAGGTGTTTAAAAACTCCAGCAGAACTGCTGTGTCTGATTCACTCAGCCCAGCGCAACACACACTAACACACCACCACCACGTCAGTGTTACTGCAGTGCTGAGAATGATCCACCACCCAAATAGTACCTGCTCTGTGTGTATGCAGAGAAACAGATAGACTCCAGTCTGCTTTTTTCTTGGTGAGGACATCAAAGGGTTAAACCCATTTTCAAAAACGTTCTATATAAGTTCTATGACATCAAGCTTGTAACAATAGCAAAACCCTTTTTGGTGCTATAAAGAACCATATTCAACACATTCTCCTGTGTATCTGAAGAACCATTTCACCATGCAAATGGTTCTATATAGAACTCATGGAACTATTAACTTTATTAACTATGAACACTTTCATGCAACAACCATTCAATGTTAGCTTGTCTGTAGCGTGTACATAGTGATATGTGTATTTTACACTGTTCTAACATTTTTGTTTACCGCAGGTTGTGATAGTAGCGATTTTCAAAAATGCTCACAGTCTAAACCCTGAGTTCTTATTAAGGCATGATGCCGACTACAGAATGGCATGAACTATTCACCAGCAATAATTAAGGGAGGGAATCAATCATGACCTTTATCTGTTGCTGCTTCAGATTACTATGCAGGACAAAAACAAATTCCTTCGTTAAATATAATTTGCATTGGCTGTGCTCTTATTGCAATGCATCTCCATACCGGATTGCATGTCTCTCTATGGAAATCTGTCCTTTTAAATGGTGCCTGCCAGCCCAGTGAGGGCATTTTGCATTTTTAAAAAACATTTACATGTAGAGCTGCCCATTGGAAGAGAACTGAGGAGCAGCATGTCTCAGCATTCACACACACACAAAAATCTTTTTGTTATTCAGATTCATCCAACTTAGTTTACATTTCTAATGTCCATTTTTGAAGTTCTGCATTAGAATACATGCAAATTAGTTTGGTGTAATTCAATATATTTTAGTTCAGTTTTCAATCTGATATCTTTATGAGGGTACATTCATCATTTCAGACACTCCTTTGCTTTGTCCTCATCTGGGGAACGGCATCTCTTACAGCAGTTAGCACAGCGTTCAAAGTAGCACACAGGTTGTTACGAAG